TCAGCCCCACGGCGGGGACGCGCCCGCACTGCTGGCCCCAACCCGACAGCCCCACCCGGTCTCCGTGCAAAGCGGACGGACCAAGACAAGCACCTCACACTCAGAGCAAAGGCCTAAACACACGCAAGGCAGCCTGTGGCTGTGATGTCTCCCCTGGGGGCCGGTCAGGGGAGCCCAAGCAACATGCAAGCAGGAAAACAGCCAGCAGAGCCGGACGAGGCCTCCCTCTGTGCCACGCATCAAAGCCGCAGTCGGGGGCCAGGCCATAGCTACCACCCACAGCCACCCACAGCCACACACAGCCACACGCAGCCACACACAGCCACATACAGCCACGTGCAGCTACACACAGCCACATGCAGCCACGCACACAGCCATGTGCAACCACACACAGCCACACACAGCCACACGCAGCCACACGCAGCCACACACAGCCACGTGCAGCCACACACAGCCACTTGCAGCCACGCACACAGCCACGTGCAGCCACACAGTCACGCGCAGACACACGCAGCCACACACAGCCACGCACACAGCCACGTGCAACCACACACAGCCACATGCAGACACAAGCAGTCACGCACAGCCACATGCAGCCACACACAGCCACGCGCAACCACACACAGCCGCATGCATCCACACGCAGCCATGCACACAGCCACACATATAGCCGCACACACAGCCACACATACAACCACACACAACCACACATACAGCCACACACACACCACACACATAGCCACATACACACACCACACACATGGGGCCATACCTCACGGCTGGAACCCCGGGGGCCAGAGGAAATTAAAGCTGTGCAGACTCCCGGGGGTGGACTGAGGCGGGTGAGCAGGGCTGGTTGTCACATGAAGTGAAATCTGGGGACCCGGCGCCCAGTGGGCAGGGGCGGAGGGCCGCTTTCCTGGGAAGCGCGGGGCCCTGTGGTGGGAGGTGCCCAGGGAAGGAGGCCACGGAGTCACCACCGATTCAGGCAGGAACGAGAACTCGAGGCCCGTGGGCCTGACTTGGGGAGGAAAACCACATTCGCACACTTTGCCGCCGTACAGGGAGGCGCTGACCCCCCGCACTGAAATGGAGAGCAAGCAGCGGAGACGCTGTTTTTCCGCATCCAGGACAGCTTTTTACTGTCCCGTGCCCGCGTCAAAGTGACAGGGGCTCCAGCAGCTGAGTCACGCGGCCCAGGGCCGACGGGTGTGCCGTGCGCAGCCCGACTCAGGTGCCTGTAACAGGGGCGGCTAAACAGAGAGGTGGGTGCAGCCCGGAATAGTGCTCTGTGTGTGCGGCGGCTCGAGGCGGAATGAGTGTACGAGGCCAGACCTATAGGTTTCCAAGCCCAGGGCACCGGACGAGCACCTCCCCACGCCGCTGTCCACGGCGCGTCCCGGGAACCAGGGTTGAGAGGTTTAGGACGAGCGAGAGGGGCCCTGGGGCCTGTGCCCGTGGCCGTGGGAAGATGGGAAGGCAACACGGTTATTAATTTCGCTGCTGATCCGAGAGGCGGAGGTGTTGGCAGCCCCGTGAGGACACGGAGAACATGACTGCGTCTGCGAGGTCGCGGCTGGGACATGGCATCGGGGGCCCCGTGGGGACGGGAGCAGGCGCTCCACACGGCCAAGGGCGACATCTGGATCTCGTCGCGGAGCGGGGGATGCAGGGGACGATGACCGCAGAGTGGCCTCGACGCTCCGCGGTGACAGGGCTGCCGCCTGGGGGTTGCAGCTCAAGGTGAGCGAGAGGGCGAAAGCCT